ACTAAGAGGGAGAATTAGTGAACAACAACCAGCCTACCACACTTAATTACCATTTTACAAGAGAACTTAGGTTTTGCTTTTATAGCTTTATCTTTTACTCCCCAGCGCATTTATCCACTCTGAAAACAAATTCACAAACCTCCTGTGTCCCTATCTGTCCAGGATCACAGCTTTCCATGAGAGTTGCATGCTACAGAATCATTAAACTGACCAACTGTTATTACTATGGGGCAACAGAATTTTTATAGGAACCAGACCTGGGCTCTGCAATGTACTTATCTTCAGAATGACTGAGAGATGTAACTACCTCCTCAACCAAACTCAGGCTTTTCTTTCAACTTTATTCCATCTTCTCCCATAAATTGTATCAACCTTTCCATCGTACCTACAAATGAAAATGTTCTCCAACTACCAACAGGGTCTTCTACAAGATGGGAATGAAGACAGAGATGCTTCCACTTTCCCACCATTTACACTTCGGGGATGATCACACACTACAGATAGAGAGGCCATGAATACCCAAACACTTGATATAATTTTAAAAAGTCTTTGTCCATGGGAAAGTGGAGAGGATATGAGATAAAAGATCCACTTTGAACTTCTACTTTAGTCTTTATGGGAAGAGTGTGTCAGAAGCTGACAGTTAACCAAGAGAAATTTTAGAACAGGATTTCATACCATTCTGTTTTAAACGCATCAAAGGCTTTTTTCCCTAGTTCCACTGTCTTTTGTTGTTATTTTTTAAAAGAAGCTGTTTATTGAACCTTGGCATCTGTGACCTTTCTAAGCTTCTGCCCTGGCAGATGGCACAAACCATGTTTTCTGGAGGGCTTAGAGGGCCATTTCACAGTTTCTGAAGTAGCTGATATGCTTTATTGAATACAGGCCAAAATATGATTTGTACTCCTGCTTTGTGGGTAAAAAAGTCTCTGTAGATATCATACAGTATTTATTTAATCATCTACATGGATATAAATCTCCATGTGGAAAAATGCATCTAAGTGAGGAGGGACACTATTTTAAAAGCATAGTCTTGGTATCCAGACAAAAGAATGAGATTTAGTGATTTGAGGTTAAACTCCTGGCACTGCTGTAGCATTAGAGATGCTGTGAGATCTTCAGAAATGTACATTGTGCAAGTGAACAGCTGAGTCATATTAAAATGATAATTAACAGGGGTAGTTGTGATTACAAGCACAGTTGTTACTGATTTTGTTAGCTGCCATTTGACATTCTTACATCTTTATGCCTTCTATAATACTGTCATAACCAAACTTCCCTTTCCTTATAACTTCATTTATCTAGAGATCTTGCAAGTAGTTGTGAGTAGAGACCTTCTGGGCTACTAAGGATTGTGGGGATAACAGCAGCGGTTCACACATCATAAAATAACTGAAGTATTTATTATGCTGTAACAAAAGGAAAAACATTTTTTCAGCAGTGCTCTTAAAAAAAGTCACAGCTAAGCATCCAACATGTTTATCAGAAACAGATATTATGAGGAATTATGAAGAATTCATATGATGAACAACAAGAAGTAAGTAACAGGGGTAATATAGCTGATAGGTAATCTATGATCAAGAAGGAGATCAAGTGACTAAATCCATCTGTAGCTCTACTGAAATCATCTATATTCAGTATTGTGAATTTCAAAATAAGCTTTGTACACAGAAGACTGTAATCCACAAAATTCTTATTTTTTTTCTTGAAGAAGTGGACCTCTTTTGTTTTGTTTTGTTTTGTTTTAATATTTTCCATGGAGACAAACAGCAAGTGTTTTGTTCTACTAAAGCTTTGTATTTTATTGCATTCGTAGAAGCCAGCTTCTTAGATTTATGCTGCAGTACTCCCTCTTATAGGATTTTAGGCCTAATATATCAATTTCTTTGTTAATCAACGAACATTCAGGAATCAGACAAAAGTATAATTAGTCTATGTTTCATTTGGAAAGCCTGAGGTAAGAAGGAAAATGATCTAAATGTAAGATGTGAAATCTTACATCTGTTCTGAGCAAGCATTAAATAAGAACAAAGTGATCAAGCATCAGATTCATGAAAACCTCCGATAAAAAAGCTGGGAAAAACAGTTTCAGAAACAAATTAAAATAAGATGGCCAATCAAGCCACTATCACACAATGTACTGAGAAGTACAGCTTTATGAATAATCACACGTAAGAGATTTTGCTCTAAGATACAAAATAGAATTTTCCTAATTCAAGGAGGCAAATATCTGTTTATGAGAGAATAATGAACTTTTTATGGGGTTTCTAATCAGCTTGTTTTCAGTTTATTCTAATAGTAGTTCATTTAATGCCAGAGGGGCACATTTGGTGAAAGGCTTGTATTCTGGAGAGCCATAAAAAGAATAGTTCAAGTATGCTCAGCTTTCATACAAACAAATTCATGCTAAAGTCCCAAACTAGTCTTATAACCATACATTTCTTAACATCAAACTAAGGAACTCAAGCAGTAACACCAGATTCAGCATAAATCTCTCCTGGAAAATTATTTGCATACATTTGTATTTAATTATAAAGTTTGTAGAGAAGGCTGTTCCTTATATAATTACAGTGTGATATTTTTCTCTTGAGGAGGTAAAACTTAACTTTTCACATGTTGTAAAGAAACAAAAGGCAAACAAAATTTGTTACAATTAAGCTTTACACTTTATTGCACCTGTAACCAATGCCAATTAAAGGTAGATTAAGATTTTAACTCATAAATGTATGTTTTCATTGGGAATTTGTACCACTCAGTTTTATAAGTGATGCAAAATCCTAAGTATTTTCTTTAAAAAAGATATAACATATTCTTGTAAAAGATTTCTCTTGTGCTTACTAGTAAATTTTTCATTCAACCACTTCCTTTGAGACTATTTTTGGTCAACCCTTATGGTGTCACTTAATTCCCACTCCATTATTTGTGGCTTGTTTTTTTTTCTGAGGAAAGATTCCTGACTTTTTTTTTCACATAAAAAAATAATATTAAGAGTAGGCAGCCTGTTTTATAACACAGAGTGTCACCAAGTAAATAAGTTTTGTGAAAGATTGTAAAAAACATGGTGGTGATTGAAAGTTTGCCATCAGTAGCCTGAGTTAAGAGAGCATTAGATAATTCCTCTGTAAGACAGAACTGACTTTTCATTGCTGATTCACATGAGAGGTCTTCCAGGTGGCAGCCACAAAACCCGGAGTCCTGCAACCCCACTATTACGAGCCATTGTCTCTGAAGCTTCAGCCAAGTAAGAACCAGACAACTTGTTCATTATTCAGAAAATCCAATAGGGTTTAATGCTACGGTAATTAATTCTAGCTAGCAACCCTGCACACGTGATACATTAGGCAAATACTGGATTCCACTAGTATTTTTACAGAAAAGTTCAACTGGCTGGAATGTAAAAGTATCACTTCAAAAATTATAGTATTTTTTCAATGCTTTTCAAGTATATTGGTGACAATTGGCATCGCATTTAACAGTTGTAAAATCAGCCAGTATCAAGAAGAAGGGGGTACCAGGAAATACTGTGCTTAAGAGAAAAATAAAAGAAACAAACAAAAGCCTCACTTATCAAGAAAAAAATACACCAATGTTTTGAATTCTAATTAAGATCAAGTCAAGAACAGAGATGAAATGCTGGCTGCTTTGCTGAGACCGTGGAAGATCTGGATTCAGTTCCCAGCTGTGTAACTCACTTTCTGAGGACTTCAGAAAGTCCTTATGCCTGTTCTGGGAACTATGACATTTCACTTTTTGCCACAAATCCTCACAGCAGCTCAGACCAAAAGCTCCATACAGAGCTCAGCTTAACTATTCACAGTTAGGCAGGGGAGATAGAATCGGTAGGGATCATTTCAGATCAGTGATGATCGATTTTGAGACTTGTATCTTAATGCATTCAAATCCAAAGATACATCTGGTTGTTTAGGTTTGACTTGAATGGAAACACCCACCATATGTAGAAACTTCCTAAAAATTTTCGGTTACAAATAACCACCTCTGTCAGTATTTAAAAAGGGCAGGAACGTTAAAAAGCATTATTCAAAATTGCTTCTTTCTGATTATTCTACTTATTTTTTTTTTTTCTTTGGAAAAAAAGTCTATTAATGTTAGATAGCCAGTCTCACCTTCCAGTTTTCTTCTCTTATGGTCAAAGAAAAAATGTGTTTTAAATTTGTCCAAGCAATTTTATCATTTCAGGCATAGTGCTTTTGTACGCTTATTGGCAACTTATTATATTCCATCAATCTTTTGCTCAGATAGTTACACCATGACACTAAAGCAAGGCTGGCCAAGAAAACGACAAAGAAGGCCCTCACAAATAAAATTTTTGCATTGTCCTGTCGATCACAACCTAAAACATGGTAGGCTTTAGAAAGAAGAATTATTTTTAGCATCATGTTATCTATTCAGTGGGGCAATCACAGATCTTAATATCTGTATTTTTACAGAGAGATTGTTCCATAAGGGCATGCTTTATAGCAACAATCAATCCACCTCCCTAAAAGTCATAGTACTGTAAATCGCTGATGGAAGATGCTGAGGACCTTAGTTGTTTCCAACATGCTGTAAGAATTCATGTAGGACAAGCCTTCTTCCAGAACTAAGCTAAGCAGAAACTGAATTTCAATAGGGCAGTTTTGCATCCTCCCTGCTCTTCTCATTACACCTGCAACACATCGCATTAGACAGCATCACACTCTGAGACTACATTACTGTGTCCCCACAAATAGCAAGGTTGTAATCCCCCACAAAGAAAGAAATTATTTGCTAGGGCTTAGATTTTTCCTTTCATTAAAACAGAAGATCTGCTGCAGAAGGAACACAAGCATTGACAGAACTTAGCTATGATGCTGGTCAAACCCTCTTCGTCCCATTCTGACCCCAAACCCCATTCTTTCATCAGAAAGCATCACCTTCTGTTTCAATTGCCCTGTAATTTCCACTGCTAAAATACGGCATTATTACCATCACACAAAAGCATAAAGGAAAAAGGAACATACGATGGGCATAGATATTGCTTCTTTTTCCCCTTCCCTTTCTTTGAAGACTTCTCTTTGGAGCAGACTTCTTCAACACATAAGGAGAACAAGATGAAAAAGAAAACTGCTAGTAAGAACTTCATCTTGAGGATTACGCTTCAGAGAAGCCTTCAGTCTGCGGCAAAAGAAAAGAAAGAGGTTTATATTAGTAGAGTTAGATATGGCAAATGGCAACACACACCTCCAAAAAGTAAACAAACATTTTTGTGTTTTCATTTTAAAAAATGTTGGATCTTAGCTGTCCTGGGAGAGAGTCTGCTGAGGGTGGTTCCTCTGATATGGAACCAACTCAGGCAATTTTCCAGAAGTCAAGTAGCTTCCCACAGTTAAGAGTATGACAGTGAGGAACAGCAAGTTTGCTCCAGTGTGTTTAAGAAATAAACACAATGACCTTCAAAGGCTGCCTAACTCAAATTCCTCAAGGAATTCCTCGCCAAAAATATTATGTATCAACTGCATTAAATAGGGTTAAATGTGACCAACCAGTCATCTAGCAAGGCAGAGAACCGCAAGCCCTTTGTGACCTTGCACAGATAAAATACCAATCATTTCAAGGCTAGTTAAGAGAAAGGCTTGCAAATATAACTTTGTGCAAAATAGTAACTTATGCTTAAATTCTGTAGATAAAGTCTTCTCTCTGTGGAGCCAGCACTGAAAGGGCCTTGCAAAGATGACTAAACACAATCCATAGCACTGTGCTTTATTACATTGCATCCAGTTTAATATTTTAACATCTCATGGGCAAAAGCGCGTACCCTGCAGGCCAGGAGCCCAGCCTGTGTTCGGCCAGAAACAGCCCCTTCTGCCCCTGCACGACACCCTGGGCATTTTCCATTTCCCTCCCACCCCACAGGTACTTCCCAGGTGCTTTCCTGAGAGCAGCAGGAACCCCGGCACCAGCTGTTTTTTCCATTTTTATCTTTTTTTTTTTTTTTTTTAACTTTGATAGCATACTTGTTCCATCATGGCTGCATGTACATGACAATCTTTTAATCAAAGTCCATGGTGGGGGTTGGGGGTGGTGGTGTCAAAGGACACTGCATCTTCCTTTCAGCATTTCAGATGGTTTCACAACTCTGGCTGAACTTGTAACTGATTCAAGTTAAGATTAATTCCTAATATTTTACAGAATTCCCCAAGTTAAATAAAATTCACTTTTTTTTTTTTTTTTTTTTTTTTTAATTCTTTTAAAGAAGCAGTGGCTGCCTCTCTCCTCCTCCTACCCCTACCCCTCCTCCCTCACCTCCGGGAGGCACCGGGATGCTTCAGTCCATCTCGGGACCTGACTCCCCCCGGAACCCACCCGGGCCGGTAACGCTGGCAGCGCTGCCCCCGCCGCCCCCTACCTCCCCCCGGCCCGGCCCGCGGCCTCCCGCCGGCCCCAGCACCGGGGACAGAACGGCCTCCGCGCTACCGAGCGCACCGGGGAAGGGAAGAGGGGAAGGAGGGGATGAGGGGAGCTCCCCGCCGCCACCGGCCCCTCCGCAACGGGCCGCCCCCCCTCAGGGCAGCCCCCGCCGCCGCGGCCCCGGCCCCGCCGCCACCGGCGCTGGCCGAGGTGCTGACGGGGACCGGGATGTCGCCCCACCGGGAGGGGATGTCGCCGCACCGGGAGGGGATGTCGCCCCACCTGGAGGGGATGTCGCCCCACCGAGGGAGGACGGGCTCTCAGCGGCCGGACCCTTCCTCCTCGGCGACCCCCGCACACGCAGCCCCGCCACCGCCATGTCCCTCACCGCGCTCACCGCCGGTCCCTCCGCCGCGGCCTCCCCTCTCCCCTTCTCCCCTCGCCATCAGGCCCGGCGGGCCGTACCGCCACCCGGGGTCGGGGAGAAAGCGGCGGTTTCCCCCCCCCTCCCGCCCCCGGCGGCGGAGCCAGCCTCCTACCTCCGACGGTGCCCTCCGCCCTCAGTGAGCATGTGCGGTAGCCGCGGCGCGGCGCGGAGAACGCCCAGTGAGCATGTCCCGGCCGCCCGCCCGCACATGGGCACTGCGAGAGCGGCGTCGCCGGCGGCGGGAGGGCGGCGGGGGGAGGAGGGTTGCGGGGAAGCGGGAACGGCGGCGGGGTCCGACCGTTCGCCCCCAGCTCCCAGACCTCCTGCCCCCCACCCCGGTCAATGCCCCGTCCCCTGTTGGCAGAAGAGAAACTGCATTTTTAAAAGGCTCCTGTGTCCCAATTAGTGGAAATATTTACTTTCTGGCCAGCTCTGCTGTGCGGGATTCAAGGTCTCCGTGTTTTCGAGGTGCGGGGACGAGGAGGAGCACGACCCGGCCACTTGACTCAAGCTGGCCAACAGGATTATTTTATAAAATGAACGTCACACTCAATATAAATCAGGAAGTTTGCTGAGAAGTTCTCTCTCTTCCTCAATAGTTGCCATCCTAAGAACTTCTTGCCCCTGAGCCCTTCCCTTCCTCCAGAAGCTGTAGCGCTCACAGTGTCCAACATTTGCGGTCCACTGCTGGGAGTGCACAGCTTCACTGAATTTCACTGAATTTCACTGAATTTTTAGAGTTGGAAGGGACCATAGAGATCATCTAGTCCAAGTTCCCTGCTGAAGTAGGATTACCTAGAGCATGTTAGAGCATGTTACTCAGGACTGCATCCAGGCAGGTCTTGAAGATAGAATTGGGTGAGGATAACCCTTGCATATTTCATATTGGTCTTGGGATAAATATGGGTTCTTTAGTATTACTGATGTTAATTATTTAGTCTTATTCTACAAAATCTGTTGATATTTCAACCCACGGATTCCCTTGTTTTTTTTCTAATTCCCCTTTCACAGTGGGGAGGGGTCATCAGGTGATAGCATGATTGCCTAAATGACAATAAATTTTGTGGGTTCTTCAAACCATAACAGCAGGAAGCAGGGAAAAGTCACAGAAAGGGGCTGAGTAGGATGGGAGGAAGACGAGGTGCACAGATTTCAGAGGTATATGCACATATTTAGTCAATGGTTACCATCATTTCATTTAAAATAGCAGACTTTCCCTATGAAAAAGTGAAAAGTTTGTTTTTGTAGGTAGACACATGCCCTTGTTACAAAGCATGTTGTTTTTACAATTGCTATAGACTTAGCCGCGTTATAAATAGAGGGATGGATATTTCATACATAAAACTATTTCTGGATCTCCTTGTACCTTACACTTTGAGAAATACAGGTACATGCTGAATTTCTTGCTTACTTCAGCTATTTGGCCTAAATTTTGGAAATGGACAGACATCATTATACAGCTGAGCAGTGTTAGGTTACCCTCCCATTGTAGTCCAAAGGCCACGCTCCCATTTGTCTCACATTCTTTTTAGTGACCAAGTCACTGAAAATCATGACCCTTCCCAAGTTTTCTTGATCTTCCAGCCTTATTTCTTATCACGTTGCCAGAGCTCAGTCTGCAGGATGATAAAAGAGCAGCAGTGCCTGAAGAAAGCTTTTTACTCTTCAGAGTGCCGTACATCGACGGACGCTTTCCGCAACGCCCTGTGATCATCATCGTGCTTCCCTGTGAAGCTCTGTTGGGGTTTGGACTATAATACAATGACAGGTAAAAAGTGAAACCACCTGTTTGGCAAATGAGAATTGGGTGTTCGTGGCCATACCTGTCACAGCGGGTAGAGTCTGTAATACCTGAATGCTGGGCACCCTCAGCTCCACCTTCTGAGCAACGTTCCCCGCCCTCAGTGAATTATAGACACAAACTGAAAATAATTCCACGCCCCTCAGAATTTGGTGCCGTATGGTCCACATACTGCTGTATGTGTACGTGTGTGGCAGAGCCGGGCGGCGAGGGGGCGGCAGCACGGGCGGGCAGGCCTGAGGCGAGCGCGAGGCGGGGTCGGGCTGGCGCTGCCCAGAGGGGCTCCCAGCGCAGGGACCTCACACACCCAGCCGGGACCAGGAAGTCCGCGGCAGCCAATCAGGCGCGGAGGGGGCGTGGCCAGGAGCCGCGCGGAGGTTTAAAGGCGGTGAGAGCAGGCCCTCGGTTGGTGACTGGGGAGGTGGTGGCTTCACGAGATGCCTGCGCGTGACCGGTGAGTGCCAGGGGGGAGCGGGCTGGGCTGACTGGAAAGAAAACATAAAGCGACCCAAACTGACCTGCCGCAGAGACGTGCAGCTGTCCAGGGGAGGGTCTGTAGGGACTGTCTGTCACTCCTGCAGTCCATGGTCTGCTCAGCCTGGTGGTGGAGCTTAAGGAGGGAGTGGGAAGACTGAGGTCCATTTGGGAATGTGGAAGGGAAATGGATTGGTGGAGCCAGGCCCTGCTGTCCTGAGGGAAAAAGGAGCAGGTGGAGGCTCCATGAGAGGCAGAGGGTCCCCTGCCCTCTTGTCCCCAGGCAGAAGGAGGGAAGTAGGAGAGGATGGGGGCGGTGGAAGCAGGTACCTGCTCGGGGCAGCAGGAGAGTCCTCTCCAGGCCTCCCCCACCTCCCAGGTGCCCGTACAGAACAGGTACAAGCCTTTGGAGACAGAGAATGGGGGAATCGAAAGTACTGATAAAGGCTTGTCCAGGGAGCTGCTGAAGCAGCCAGCTCTGTGTATTAAGACTGCCTCTGTGATGAAAAGGAGGAGGGCAATAGATATAGGTGGTTCCCTTCTGAGGGGAACTGAGGGTCCCATATGCAGGCCTAACCCTTCCCAAAGGGAGGTCTGCTGCCTCCCTGGGACCTGTGTTAGGGATATAACCAGGAAGCTTCCTGGCCTGATGCAGCCCTCAGGTTATTACCCCCTTTTGATTTTGCAGGTAGATAATGATGAACCAGTGAGGAGAAGTGTCAGGGTGATGAAGAAGGATTGCAGGGCTTTGGGACAGCTAGTCAAGGGTTTGGGAAGGGTTGGAAGACAGGACAGGCAACTCATGAGGAGTACAGAGATCTTGTTAGGTTATACAGAGAAAAAGTTAGAAAGGCAAAAGCCCAGCTGGAACTCAACATGGCCATTAATATAAGGGACAACAAAAAAAGTTTTTATAAATACATCAACAAAAGGAGCGTCAGGGAGAACCTCCATCCCTCTGTGATGAAAAGGAGGAGGGCAATAGATATAGGTGGTTCCCTTCTGAGGGGAACTGAGGGTCCCATATGCAGGCCTAACCCTTCCCAAAGGGAGGTCTGCTGCCTCCCTGGGACCTGTGTTAGGGATATAACCAGGAAGCTTCCTGGCCTGATGCAGCCCTCAGGTTATTACCCCCTTTTGATTTTGCAGGTAGATAATGATGAACCAGTGAGGAGAAGTGTCAGGGTGATGAAGAAGGATTGCAGGGCTTTGGGACAGCTAGTCAAGGGTTTGGGAAGGGTTGGAAGACAGGACAGGCAACTCATGAGGAGTACAGAGATCTTGTTAGGTTATACAGAGAAAAAGTTAGAAAGGCAAAAGCCCAGCTGGAACTCAACATGGCCATTAATATAAGGGACAACAAAAAAAGTTTTTATAAATACATCAACAAAAGGAGCGTCAGGGAGAACCTCCATCCCTTACTAGAGGTGGGGGGAAACTTTGTAACTATGGATGAGGAGAAGGCTGAGATACTTAATGTCTTCTTTACCTCTGTCTTCAACACTCAAATTAACTACCCACAGGGTGTTCAGCCTCCTTATCTGCAAGGTAAGAATGGAGAGCAGAACAACACCCCTGTAATCCGCGTCAGGGAGAACCTCCATCCCTTACTAGAGGTGGGGGGAAACTTTGTAACTATGGATGAGGAGAAGGCTGAGATACTTAATGTCTTCTTTACCTCTGTCTTCAACACTCAAATTAACTACCCACAGGGTGTTCAGCCTCCTTATCTGCAAGGTAAGAATGGAGAGCAGAACAACACCCCTGTAATCCGTGAGGAAGTAGTTGATGATCTGCTTATGCACCTAGACATGCATAAGTCTATGGAGCCGGATGGGATTCATCCAAGAGTACTTGGGGAACTGGCAAGAGAGCACACCAAACCTCTCTCCAGCATCTATCAACAGGGGAGGTACCAGATAATTGGAGGGTGGCCAATGTGATGCCCATCTATGAGAAGGGTCGGAAGGAGGATCTGGGCAACTGCAGGGGTGAACTTAGCTATCTCTTCTCTGCTTGCAGCTGCTGCTGTGTGTGCGCTGTTGGGGAATACCTAACCATGTTCATTTTTCTGACTCAGGAATAATTCCCAGGAATTCTTGATCTTAGACATTATTGTGATCATTAGAAAATAACTGTATAAACTATAGGCAAAATATGACACAATCTTTCCTAATGATCAGCTCAGGGACACTAGTCCTTTCTTTAGTTTGCAGTAGGGGAACATGGAGATCTGAAGATCCAGCAGTCCAGTACTGCTGTCTAATCAAACAAAAAATACTTCATAGCTGTATAAGATCAAATTTCTTTGGGCTTATTGGTCTTCTTTCTTAAGGTAGTGAGTTTTGTGAAGTAACATTCTGTATGTGCTCATGTTTCAGACAGCTTGTTGCTAACTTCTAATTTTTTTCAACTGATTGATACCACATTTGAATAAGATAAAAAAAAAAACAAAGAGCTCAGAGATATTAAGTCCTGTGTGTGTTGTAAAGACAGCTGGCTGGGAAGACAGATTGACCTAATGTTCCCACAGAAGGAAAAAAGTGAGACAGAAAGCGGACTGGCATGAGTGATTACTAGACATCAGAAAATCCACCTGGGAGAAAGCTATTACAAGTTCTTTAAACACAAACATATTTTATTCATAAAGTATCTGCTTTACTAGAGGAGGAATTATGACTGAAAAACAGAACTTCAAATGTCAAATAGCTGACAAAATTTTTTTAAAGCCTTTACTAAGCTTTTTTTCAGGAAAGCAAATATGTATTTTTAAATTTCTAGTAACAGAAGAAGCCATGCCTTAGCTTTCAGATTAGTTTAGTTTAAAAGCCAGACAGCCACAAGACCCCCATCAATTGGAAATCAGATTTCATTCATTTCAATTCTCAACAAAGTAGGTTTTTTATAAATTGAATTGAATTAATTCACAGAATTAGAAAACACCATTTTAGAAAGGATTTCATGTCCT